AGGCCTCCACAGGCTTCACCCCCTTCGAACTGCTGTTTAGGAGACAGCCCAGGGGCCTTCTAGACGTGGCTCGGGAAGCCTGGGAGAACCAGCCCGCCCCCCTTCGTAGCCTCGTCGAGCACGTGCGGGAGATGAGGGAAAGGATTGACCGGGTCATGCCGCTGGTTAAGGAACATCTCGTGACCGCCCAGCGTGCCCAGCAACGGCTGTATGACCGGCCCGCCCAGGCCCGGGAGTTCCAGCCAGGCGATCGAGTGGTGGTACTGGTTCCTACAGCTGCGTGCAAGTTTCTGGCGACCTGGCAGGGGCCCTACACCGTAGTGGAACGGATGGGACCGGGGACGTACCAGGTGCGGCAACCGGGCCGCCGACGGACGGAACAAATCTACCACGTCAACTTGCTCAAGAAGTGGGTTCCCCGGCCCGAGCAACTGGCCGTGCTAGCCCATACCGGGCCCCCAGTAGTGGACATGGAACCACAGCTGTCGGCAACCCAGAAAGCGGCGATCGACGCCCCAATTCCGGGATGTGTTCAGTGAGAGCCCGGGTAGAACTACTGTCATCGAGCACGAGGTCCGCACACCACCAGGAGTCGTAGTCCAGCAGCGGCCCTACAGGATACCGGAAGCTTGCCGGCCGGCTATTGAGGAGGAAGGAGCAAGAAGATGCTCCAACTAGGAATCATCGAGCCCTCCCGTAGCCCGTGGGCCAGCCCCATCATGATGGTTCCAAAGCCAGACAACACCCCCCGGTTCTGTAACGACTTCAGTAAGGTCAATCAAGTTTCTGCCTTTGACGGCTATCCCATGCTGGATGAGCTCCTGGTGGATGAGCTCCTGGACTGGCTGGGCAAGGCTCGTTACATCAGCACCTTGGACCTCACCAAAGGCTATTGGCAGGAGCCCCTGTCCCCGGAGTCCCGAGAAAAGACAGCCTTTAGCACTCCCAATGGCCACTGGCATTACCGGGTGCTACCCTTCGGCCTACACGGGGCACCAGCCACGTACCAGCGGTTGATGGACATCTTGCTCCGGCCCCACCAAGCCTACGCCTGACGGCCAACCCCAAGAAGTGCCACCTCGGCCTCACCGAAGCCAAATACCTGGGGTACAAGATCGGAAGAGGGCTCATCATGCCCCAGAACAAGAAGGTCGAGGCGGTAAAGAAGTTCCCACGCCCCGCCAATAAGACGCAGGTACGGGCCTTTTTGGGGTTGCAGGGCTACTACCGGTGTTTCATACCTAACTTCTCCTCTATAGCCTGCTCCCTGTCAGACCTTACCAGGAAGCGACAGCCGGAGAGGATAGACTGGACTCCCAAGACCGAAGCCGCCTTCCAGGCCCTCAAGACGGCCCTGACGTCCTCCCCGGTCCTGCATGCCCCAGACTTCGGCTGCCCCTTCACCCTATATACGGACGCCTCCGGCACCGGTTTAAGGGCAGTCCTCTCCCAGCTCCAGGATGGAGAGGAACACCCCATAGTCTACATCAGCCAGAAAATCTCCCCCGCGGAGACCAGGTACGCCACCTAGGGCTGGACAACAATTCAATATCAATATGTATCGCAATATATATTATTTCAATAGCGGTGACACATTTCCGATATAGCCTACATTACCGTACACGGATTTATTTGTGGCGTTTGACTTCATTGAATAAACATGAGCACTGCACGTTTTAAAATCAAAACTTGTCGCGGGTGTTTTATATTAATGTATCTCTAAAGGGAAAGGACTATCTTCAGAAAAGTTTCGATAGGATTTTTATTTTATCTAATAAAGGAGTGTTCATGAGCGGAGCTGATTTGATTACAACCATTACTGGAAAAACCGCTAGTTCAACCGCTCTTAAAGCGCCTCCTGCTGGCAGACCATCAGTTTGCACTTAATTCTGTTCTGCTCACCAAGCCTGCATTTATTTCATCCAATATTTTTACCATTTAAAATAACTGCTTTCTATTTGAATATATT